CGCATATGTAAATGAATGTCGTCGAGCTTATCCTCATCCTTTCGCACGCGCGCGAGCACATATCATTGACGCGCCGATGGCGTAATTGACATTTCGATTTGATCGATCGATAATCATCGTATCAGGCTAGCAGGGCAGTGTACTGTCGTACGTAGTTTCAGGTGGATGATAAAATATTCATTGCGATCGCTCGTTATTTGTATGCATAACATATTGTTCAAAATTCAATCTGGTGTCAAAACTTAAGAACTATTAAAACGATAAAATAATGATTTGTCATTTTCCTCTGAAGAAAATAAAAAGTCTTATAACAAAAAAAATTGGAGTTAATTCGAAAAATGCAACTTTTATCATTGCTCGTTATTTGACGTATGTAGAATGTAAACTAGTAGAAATTTTCGTCATTGAATATAGTCTAATACACGGAGAGAAATACTATTCTAAATATCAACACATTCGCTAGCAAATATTGCTATATGTTCTCTAGGAAAAGAGCCCCAGAGTCGATTTATATTAACTTTTGTTATGTAATATAGTAATTTTTGGTGCGGTATGTAGTTTTTTTTTAGATTGGTAAAATTATTTTAAAATAATAATTTTCTGGCTTTCCGAGATGATTTTTCGATTTTTTGAAAGCCCCAAGTTTTCGACCTAACCCTGCTTTCTGCTATTATGGAATTATTTTATTCGTCGATTTTTACAAACAAACATTTGCCTGCCTCTAGAAAACTACCTTACCTAGCAGTTGCCTATTCATATTAGTCATGGCTCATCAGAAGTATAAACAGTATAATCTGTTCGAAATTTTTTGTATATATACCAATCGGACAGTTTTTCTGACACTTGCGGGAATTGACCATACTCCATCTGTTGATGAAATCGAGAAGTTTGGATTATGGTAAAAATTCTTACAATATAAAATAATTTTTTAAATATTCATCCACAAAATTTCCCATAATCAATAGTAAAATTAGCTACATACCAATTTTTATTTTGTTATTATAGCAATTTTTAGAATATGGCATAAATATTTTTGAATTACAAAGTTAAAAAAATAACCCGATATTTAGCATGTACATAGTAGAAAATGCCCATAATCCGACTCTGAGGCAATTGTACTAGCGAATATAGTAATTTTTGCTTCCGAAAGCGTTGATATTTAATATAGTATTTCTCTCCGTGTAACCAATATTTCAATTGAACTTACCATTATTTGGCTTGTTTTTGGCGATTTTTCCGTTACGATTACGTCTGAAATAAAGAGCACATTAAAAAATTACCAGAACATGACACTTCAAACGCTTTAAAAAAGATAAAATCACTTCAAAAGTTCGCCGCTAGATGGCGAGCGCATAGTATCTGCAAACCCGCAAGTGGTAAAGTAAAAATAATTGTCTATAAGTCAAAACTCAAAGAACTGAATTAATTTATGATACCTAGATGTTTTTGTTTACTGGAAGTTATCGTTTGGCTCGGGCCAAGTACCCTTCCCGTCTTATATACCTGTACATATGATTTCGGTGTACGCACGCACACACTTGCAACGTGGGCGCGCAAAGTCATCGGGATTTAAGCGGCTCTCGAGGGTGCCGCGCGCAAACGTCACAGTGGCTCGCGACTGCCCCGGCATACATCGCACGTGGCGCCCGATCACTGTGGGATCATTCAAGACGCGTGTGTCTGTGTGTTCGTATATAAAATACCAGGGCAGCTGAGGAGATGCGAATTGTATGTGCTTTATTCTGTAACGTGATACGCGCAAATTTTCACGCGTCCCGGTGTTGACTGTATATTGATTGCATTCGGTTTAAGTTATAAATGCCGATTGCCTCAAGACATTAAAAAACGATAATGAGCCACAATTGATTCAAATATATCGTATAATAATATCTCGTAGATGAGGCATCTCGTTAGCAATCAATTTTAGGTATACTCAAACTTCCAAGTAACGAGATCAACAGGTTCAAAAAAGACGTATAACTTTATAAGCTCGCTCGTCTGCTCATAATCCAGCGCCGCGAGCATATCGTCCACATTATACCAGCCGCGCACTCGATCCCGAATCGCGCCGGAAAGTGCGAAAACAGTATTACGTACAGTGCGGCGCTCGCAGCACACACAGAATCGAAAAGACAAGTAGCATATTGTCGTACGTACGCGTGTTCGTTTGCGCGTGCATAAGCCGGTGAAGCCGAAGCGACCGACGACGACCCCCCTATGGGAATATTTCACGCGGTGTCGAGCAGCAGCGACGGCATCACTGCAAAGATGGCGATGATCTCCTGTCTCTGTCTGTATCTCGCATATAGGTATACATTTCATCCATGATTCCGAATATGTTATATCTGTCTCGAGCGCGTTAACATCCCCCGGACACACAGTGTGTGTATGCATATTATATTACGTACGATGAGTCTAGCTCGTGAGCCTGCGTCGAGTTTAGGGGCTGTTTAAGTTCTACGAGGGATTAAGAGCTCTCGACTGTACTCCCTTGCGCGATGACTCGGACTGCGGCGGCGTGATTTCCTTCGAATCGCCAATGACTATACGACGACAACTTGGCTTCTATACGATATAAAGCTCCGAGATTTATATGAAATTATCATTAAGGCTCGAGCCGTGACTCCTTGCAATCCTACATATATACAAGTATCGAATCGTGATTTACGCATTCGGTATACGGTACGAATTTCACACGTATATATATATAATAATGTAGCAGCTGCTGCGGTCGATCGCGAAGGTGTGCAACACACAACAGCGAGCGCCTAAAAGTGCGAGCTGCTCCGATATATATGCAGGCAGCAGCAGTTCGCGATCGTGGCGCGTTTATTTATTATTATACACTTATATATAGCGATGCGAGTCGCGCCGTAAGTCCGAGCAACACCTCTCGCTCGCGGATACACGAGCGCCTGTTCGAACGCTTACGCCCCGGCACGGCGCATACTATACACGTGTGTGTATATATATATATTAATTAAAGGTCGCTCTCTGCACTCTCTCTCTCTCGATTCGAACTCGCGTATATATATAAAATACGAGTCGATACACAGCCCCAGAGAGAGAGAGAGAGATCGCGAAATTAAAAACACGCAGTTCATGGGCGTGTTTCGGTCTCGCGCGATCTCTCTCTCGAAGCTACTACCCCCCTTTTTTGTATATATAAAGCTCGTAACAGCGAGTGATGAATGATCAATGCCGATACATCGGTGTGTAGGAGCGCGCACACACCTCGTATATATACATCGTTTGTAATGCGTGCGAGGCACTGCCTCATTAGCTACGGCACAATGTCTGAGTGTGTGTGTAATAATATAATGCAGCGCGCCGAACCTTTTTTCACGCGAGAGATGCACTCGTCGACGGCTTTATAATTTTTTTTCTTCTTCTTCGCGGCTCGGCAAATCCGCTATTATATTATAGCAGTTGTAATGCTATTATTATAAACCGTGGCGCTTAGAAACTCGCAGCCTTTCTAGCCGCGCGGAGCATTATTATCGCGGAGAAGAAGAAAATATAAGCGTGCACAGCGGCTTTATAGCCAGGATAATTGTTGCATTGACCTGAAAAGTCAGCGGTCTTGTTTATATACTTGGAAAAATAAATGCTCTCGTCCCGAGTCTCTTCGTAAGATCTTGTACGAGAGGCGCACGAGAAAACCTATATCTTTTTCCCAATGGGCAAACTCGATACCCGCATCGAGAGATCGAACTGTACAGAACCCTCCATATAATTCGACTGCGTCACAGGTTGCCACTCGATTATCGACAAGTGGAATCGAGATGAAAGTCAGGCAGTGCACTGCTGCTGCTGCTGCATCGGAGCTACTCGATCTGCATCGACGGGCTCGCGAGCGTCAAGCTTTCTACCAATATGCCTCTACATCGAGATTCACGCGGACTCGTCCTGCGCGCAATAAGTGCTAACTTTCGCCCGCAGCAGCCAAGAGTCGTCGCGCGCGCGTATGAAAATCGGAGACTCGAATCTCCGCGCGCATATACGACGAGTAATTTTTTTTATCAAACTCACATACCGAGTCGAGCTCGCACGCAATAAACACTCGTGGTGCCTCTCGAGGATGCGTACGCAAAGTACGCTCAAATATGCCAATACCGCGCATATATATAAAGCATCGCGAGCAGTGCAGCGGCTAATCACAGAGGTAAGCTCGAGCGAGCCGCTGTGCATATAAATTCCGGCGCGTGTGTCATTCGCGCGACGCGACCAACGGCGTCTCTCTCTCTTACTTTTATAATAATATCCTACGTTGTGCACTCCTGCGCATATATACGTATATAGCAAAAGCTGTTATTTAGATGCATAGCGAGCCTCGAGGCGCTATTATATAGTACACGTGGAAGGCGCGACGCTGGCTGCAACCGAGCAATCGAACGCGTTATAGCGCCCAAAGCGCTATATACGCTCGATGTGCGTATGTGTACGCGCGTGCGTCCTCTCACTTTTTCAACCGTTTATTGCATACGTAGCGCGTATATAACTCTTTGCCAACGGACGCTTCTTTTTCCTACGTACTCCTTCCTCGATCTTTTTTTCTTTTTCTTTGTTTCAAATACATCGACGCGCGAGGATTCCTCCGAAGCGTGACCGATATTTTCTCCGTCACTTCGTGAGCGCGTCGTCGTACTACCCGCAATTATATTATATCGCGCGTTGCATAAAATATATTTGCCTTCCAAGGCGGACTACTGCTCCTTTGCAAGCCAGTGCAGAGCCCGCCGCGGAGAATGTGTTACGCAGACAGACACACGTGTGTGTGTGTATACGCGTTGGGCAATATTTCGTCGATTCTCTCCACTTCTCTCGAGACCTGCCTTGGACGCGAATCCGCGACCCATCGCCGCAGCCAACGAGTACAGTCTCGCGGCCTTAACGCTTCGACGCAGTTCCGCTGCAACTGCGACTCAATCGCGACGCACACGACGACGACGATTATAATTGCGATACATTTGAGCGAGGCGAGCGCAGTGAACCCGCGCAGTGATCGTTAGTTTATTTTATCGTCGCGCTCGTGTTGCGATCGAGTATCGAAGCCGACCTTGCTAAATTTTTATTCAGTAAACGTCGAACATGCTTCGTCCAACGACTTTGTTCATCGTGTTAGCAACGAGTCAATTTGCAGCGGGTGTTAATTTACGATATAAGGTAAGTAACGACGCACTCGCGTAAAATCTCGTTTGATCGTTGTATTTTGTAGGATTCTAAATTCGACTTGAAAGGATTGGTTGCCCCCGTGTTTACGCCGTTTCTCGACGATGAGTACGTACGATACTTACTATAATTATATTCTTTCAATATCGATTCGAGCCTTCGATTCGTTTACAGAAACAGAAGCCTCAATCTTAAAATCATACCCGATTACGCCGAGTTTCTTGCATCTAAAAACATAAGTGCCGTCCTAGGTACGTAATCTAATTTTTAACGAAGGGCACAAATTCTTATTCTTCTTCTTCTTTACAGTGGCTGGATCGACCGGAGAAGGAACGCTACTGTCCGTCGAGGAGAGAAAAAAATTAGCCGAAGCGTGGTCGAGAGCCGGCCGAACGAATAAATTAAGATTGATGATACACGTCGGCGGGGTTGCACCGATCGACGTGCAGAATCTCGTGAGTAGATACATATTCAATTATTATACAATTTAATCGAGCCACAGTTATGAATCGATAACAGATCAATTACGTGAATAGTTTCATAATTATTTTAGGCAGCCCACGCGGAAAGTATCGGAGCTGACTCGATTCTCTGTTTGCCGGATTTATATTTGAAGCCTAAAAGCACCGAAGATCTGATCGAATACTTGGACGGCGTCTCGAAAGCTGCACCTCGGACGCCGTTGATTTACTATCAATCTTCAAAAGTACCGAACAATGGTTAAAAAAATACACGAATAAGAATGATATAAAAACTCTCGATGTCATTACAGTAGATTTCGATTTCAGTGAGACCTTACGATCTTCTGACGCTCGGAGGAAAAAGAATCTCTACACTGGCAGGTATAAAAATCGACAGCAGCGACATCAAAGACGGACTCGAGGCTCTTCGAGCTAACGAAAACACCGGCAAGAATTACACCATAATTTACGGCAGTAAAATGGTATTGTTATTTCTTAAATCTAAATCCAAAATTTTGAACGCTCATCGAATCGTATGCAAATTCGCAGCCCATTCTGCCAGCTTGTGGCCTCGGCGTCGAGACCTTCATGACGGCCAGCTTGAACTTCGTCCCCGAAGCGGCTTTCGAGATCATCGAGTTCTGCGGGGGCCGGAGCGATCTCGAGGCTGGCCGGGCGGCTCAGAAGCGTTTGAGCCAGATGGAGCGAGACGTTTTGCAATACGGTAATTAGAGAGCGAGATAGAATTCTGGTATGGAAATGCTCGACGTGTTACGACTTTTGTAGAGAAATATTTTGAAAAAAATTTTTTGATTCAACTTTTAAGAATCATTCGTACTTTACCACTTGCAGATTTACAAAAATAAATGTACTCGCCATCTGGCGGTGAAGACTTAAAGTGTAGTACTGTCTTGTGTGGTTTAAAACTGGTCTAGATCTTTTCATTTGAAATGCGCTTGATATTTTCAATTCAATTATATCAAAACAAGTCAATTCATGCAAATGTATTTTAAAACATTTCGAACGATATATTTTCCGTCATCCAGCCATTAATATTGTCGAGCATTTCTATCAGGGTCATAATTTCAAATTTCATATTTACGCTACTGTGTCATGCTAAACACTTTACAATCTGCAGGCGGCTACGTGGAGGCGATGAAAACAGCCACGAGCTTGGCGAGTGGCCTGTACTTGGGACCACCTCGAGCACCCTTCAGAAGCTTGTCGCTGACGGCCGCCGAGAAGATGTCGAAGGATCTGGCGAGACGCGGACTGAGCACCGAGCCGAGCACGCTGCGCAATTATAAGAACTTGTAGATATTATAACAATAAAAAAGACGAGTGTCACAAAAAAAACGCCTCTATCATATCGATATAATATAATATAGCGACGAGCAAAAAAAAAAAGTGTCACAGTGACACGCGGCCCGAACGGCGACGACGGCTAACGAGAACTCGAGCTCGAGAGCTGCGCAACAAAAAAAAAAAAAAAGGTCAGGAGTCGTTGGCCACGTCAAACGCGTCAAAGTCATAATAATATCTCGTCGTCGTCGTCGTCGTCGTCGGGCGTACATATTATATAAGAGAGACGCATCGCTCCGCACAATATCGGACGGACGCGAGGATGAGCGATCGTCGTTGGCAGCAGCGAGACTCACCCCTGTTATACGCACACACACACACTGGAGTCAGGAAAGGCACGTCGCGTAGCACCCCCTCGTCACTGATGGACTATGGCAGTGTACGCATAGTTAGTTATATACGGTTAGGTTTTCGCTGTCTCCCCCCCCACCTTCCTTCCCCTCCCGTCAAGTGGTCGGGATTAGATATTAAATAACCAAAGCCTGTATCTACCCTTGCGCGCGTATTATACATAGATACGTGTGAACGAATCAAACAAATCGCTGCGCGCCGCCTCACACTTGCTGCTGCTGCTGCTGCTGTATGCCTTGTATGTATCTTGCTTAACTTGCGGGAGCTGTGTATAGATGTGTGTAACTGTATATCGAGCACACACACGTACGTACGTACTATAAAAGGGAAGCCGCCGAGATTACATTGCAGAGTGGATCGCCACGCGCGTGAGACAGACAGAGATTATATTCTTCGTTTCTTCGCTGTGTGTGTGTGCACTGCACCTCATTTGTATCGAGCGCGGATTAAATTGACCAGGCCATCGCGCGGGGCTCTTTAGCTCGCGATAATTTATTAACGGATTATATACATTTCGTCGGAGATTTCGTGAGACTCGACGAGTGATTGTATTTTTATATATTTATTATATTATATTATGGCTCGTGTATCGATCGTGCTTATATAAAAATGACCCCGCGCAAGTATGCAATGAAAAGAAAAGGAATAAAGAATTTGAATCTGCGAACTCGCGAGACTATAGAGAGTGCCCCGTGCAGTGCATCGTCGATAATCTTAATTGAAAAAGCTCTCGGCGCATTTTGCAGCGTCCAGTTCGGAAAATCATTAAGATCGATACGATTGATTCGTCGTCTCTCACCTCTCTCGTTCGATGCAGTAGAGGTTCGCGCGCGTGCCGAACACCAAAAAAAAAAGAAAGAAAAAAATGATAATCTTACGCGCGAGCATAACGAGTTACAATACGTGGAATATTGTGTAACGATGCAAAAAAAAAAATTCAATAGCCCAAGTGAGCGAGAGAGCCTCTGAGATCACAGTAATTATCGTCCTTGCCAAAGCACAAGGATAATAACAGAAATCGAACGAGTCCGCGATAGGAATCTCGCATGCGCGCACTACCTGACTGCATATATGTATATACATGATAAACTTGTAATTTCTCCGAGGCGGCACACGCACTCGCTATATATAGAAGCTCCGCAGATCTTCCCTTACTATATATATACCTCGTGCGGCGCGTTTAGACCGCTCACTCGACAACGAACTGCCAATCTCACGTTCGTCTTCTTTCTCATTTTTTTTATTCATTTCTTCGCTCGAGCGAGCGCCAAATTAGATCTGTCGCTTCTTCTACTTCTTCTTCTTCGTTTTTATTTTGCAGTATATGTGTACACACGCGCAATCTGATTAACGATCGGCACGCGTGTCGAGCCATTGCATCTGTTTCCGGTTCCTGCGCGGTAATTGTCGCGCTGCCGCCGCTAGTCTACCTCTCTCTCTCTCTCTTATTTGCGGATCCTCTGCGGTGCATACGAAACCAGACTACGCGATGATGATTTTCGACGCGTAAATGTATAATAATGCAGTTGTTACGCGCTTGGAGCGCCGATTGGCTTTTACCAGCGCGTACAGTAGTGCTGCGCGCGCCTTATGCGAATTATGCACTGCGCTTGTTTACACCGGAGCCCGAGCTCGAAGCACGTGTAATTAACTTATTTAGGCGTGTACCGGCGCTGCTGCTGTACGCGAATGCGCGCGAGCCGAGCGCGGACTTTATAATGTTTGCATAATGAATGTGTATATTTGCAGCCGCGCCGCTGATGCACTATACACAGCTCGTTTCTGCCGGGAGAGCAGATCGTTGGGTGGTACACACTTTATAATCGATCGTAATAATTGACGAATCATCCTTAAATTTAGAATCGAGAATAACGAATGGAGCGGGTATTTGCCCTGATTGTGACGATGAAAAAAATTTTTTTTCGTAAAATGTGCTGTGCGTCGAGAGAAGAGCTGAACACATTTCACAACGATCGACGCGATGCGCGCGCACACAACGGCAACGGCGCAGCACACATACTCGAAACATTATCGTTAAATCACAAGCGCGCGCGCTTGGTCATACGCGAGAAGGGGCCGCGCGCGCTTTATTACCGTCGCGTATCGCTCGTAATTACCGGTTATTTTATATATAAAATTTTAGATCTTTATGCGAGGCACTATACACGGCACACATACGAACATTATGTTTAACGAATGTTAAATTATATATTATTATAATATGTAATTTTTCGGACATTACAGTCTCGATGTGTATGTGTGTGTGAGGAGTTATCGAGCGACGAGCACTTTACGAGGCGAAAATAATTGTTATTTCGAAAAATAATGACTATCTATATGCGACTAATGTTAAAAAAAATAATAAATTTTTCCGTAAGCCCTCAGAGATGTAAAGAAAAATGATTTCCTCCAAACACTTGCGTTTTATTATACGCGATCAAAACAAATCGTAGCTCGTTACCAGAAGCGCTCGTAATAACTTAATATGGAGCGCTTAAAAAAAATATTCACGCCTTAGCGAATCCTTCCACAAAGTACACATTGTTCGGAAGTTTGCTCCATCTTTTTTTTTTTTTTTTGTATAAAACGAGCTCGACTCCACCCGATCGTTTGCGAGAGAATGTCGGAAAAATGTAAATGTTCTCTCCCCGGCCGGGGAGAAGGCGCTAAACAGTGACGTCGTACGCCTCGCAAACTCATAAAACAATTTTGCATACGCATACCTGCTGTATGTATCTCATCGTCCGCCTCGACGCAAGAACCAACAAATCATTTGCCGGCACGTAATCACTATTGTGCGTGTGTGTCTGTTCTGTGGGTATATAACCTTGACAACGACTCATTAGCCGACGAGACTAATGAATTAACGTTCCGCGCGTGCATTATTATAATATGCGTAAGACGCTGTTGTACGCAGGCGAAATATATTTACGAGGCAGCAGCAGTATAAGCGAGCATCACCTGGTCATGCTCTTACGGTCGTGCATATGAATCCTAATTTGTCGAAAAAAAAACCGTTGCCGTATTCGCTCTCTGTCTTCGTCGTCAATTACGGGGCACACGCGACGCGACGAACAGCACCAGCAGCAAAAGAGGAGGACAAGGAAAGAGAGAGAGAGAGAGAGAGAGAGAGAGACGAGCCCGGAATGCATATGCGCGCGCTCGTTCACGCGAGAATCAGCACTGATAATGATCGACATATACCGCGCGTATATACTATATATATAATACACACATCCATCGCTCGCTGCAGCGGCGATAAAGCGCGAGCAGCGCGAGGGCAGTGCAGCACCAGCAGCAGCAAAAAAAAAAAAAATTAAAGGGCGACGTTTGGATAAATTCACGACCGTTATTACGCCGTTTATTGTTTATCGCGACGGGCGTGGAAGCTTTACCTGTTCTTTTTTTTTTTTTTATCGCTCGACGAGCATCAAAAATGTGTGCTGCTGCTGCTGCTGCTTTATGCATGAGCTAATGACGATCCGCGCGCTGTGCCACTGCTGCATCGGGTGCGCGCACATATAGACTCGCAACTTTTTCGGCTCTCTCCCGTGTTCGAAACACGCGAAATGCATTCGCATGTATGTACAGGAAGTGCGGCAGTGTATATATACATATACCGTACCATACATGATGGGTAGCCCCGGAGTTTAATTTTTCGGCTCAGCCTGATATTTATGGCGTGTTTACTATTGACAGTGAGCCTTATCGGTGGCTTTTATCGCTTTTTGCGCGGTGCTCGGCCTGATACTTTTGCTGCTGCTGCTGTGGCACATGCATATATAAATATTATATGCATTTTCATGCTTTTTTAGCCGTATCTTGATCGACGCTGTGTGTATTATACATATTTTCAGCCGTAGCGATGCGCGCACTACCGCACTCACTTCGGGAATAGAGTAATTTTTCGTTGACGAGCCGACCGCCGTGCAGCTCGCGCATGTATAAACCTGGGGCTTCTCATTTTTTTAAATTAATTAATGTATTATAACAACTATCCCGGTAGAAATTTTCAACATTTTGGTCAGTTTTTGGTCAATAAATTTAATAAAAAAAGCTTTACATTTTTTAAGTTACCATACTTTGATTTATACAATTATTTTAACTCTGACACTAGCAGATTTACATGTAAAGCCACTCGCCATCTATCGGTGAACGTTAGTTTTAATTGCAATTAAATTTTCATACGTTTTCTGTACGATCAATGCAAAGACCAAATCAGTAAAGAAGCATTAATTATCAATAGAAATTTTTAAATTTGATTAAAATATTCAAAAGCAGTATCCCTTATATAGAATAATATAGAACTCCAAAAATAAACCCGTTTGACTTATACAATTATTTTAACTTTGTCACTAGCAGATTTACATGCAAAGGCACTCGCCATCTATCGGTGAAGGTTGACTTTAATTGCAATTGAATTTTTATATGTTTTCTGTAAGATCAATGCAAAGACCAAATCAGTAAGAAAGCATTAATTTTCAATCGAACTTTTTAAATTTGATTAAAATATTTAATATAAACATTAAACACTAAAGATAAAACGATAGAAGTGATAATTTACCCTATTTGATTTATACATTTATTTTAACTTTGAAACTTGC